TATTTTTGCTTGTGAGAAATGAGAATAAAGAAAGCGAAACGCTTCTTGGTGAAACAACATAGAAGACGAGGATGTGGAATGACAACGTCTGTCCTATCGGTTTTGTTGCTGTTGTTGCCTGCTTCTATTTTTTCCTTTTCTTCCTCTCTCTCTCTATATATATATATATATGTATATGTATTCCTGTACATACGATGGTCCATCTTGAAGGTTCATGGTAGTAATGTCATTTTGTGTCTCGGCGTTCTTCTTTTTCAACTCGGTTGATTTTGTTGTTGTTGTTTTCTTGGGTTTTTTTGTGTGTGTGTTGTTTTTGATGTTTTTACCTGTTTCCTCACGTAAGATGATAATATATTTTTTTTTTCTTGTGTGTGCAAATAAATCCCCCCCCCCCCCCTTTTTTTTTTTTTTCTCCTTCTTCTTCTTTGAGTAATTTTGCATTCTCCCTGCGTGTCCATTTTGCGATGGCATTGTTGTATCACCGCTGCTACGACACGGATCTCACCGCGGTGACGGAGGGAAGCAGCAGCCTCCGCGAAACCCGCATGTCGTGGTCCTACACGGACCCACGGGTGGATGAAACGATTGTTGTTCTTCTTCTTGCCGCATCCGCCACCTTCAAGGAGCCAGCCGACGGCGATGCCATGCAATATGCACTGAAGGTCATTCTTTTTACAGCCACCGCTGCAGAAAACCAAACCGAGCGCGTTGTTTACATGGAGTCAGCACGGCGCGAAGTGCACAGCGCGATATTTGAGTTTCACGCGCCGTTAGACGTGTCCGTCGTGAAGGGAACAAGCGGTCTTGTCTTTGCCTCTACGCGACAATTCTTCTTTCATGCCGTCGCAGGGGGGAAGTCATTGGATCGCTTTGTTTTTCTCCCCGTTGAGCGGACGTGGGAACGGCAGTGTCATGCGCTACGACCGTTAGATGAAGTGGAGCCCATTTCCCGTCTTCTTGCCGAGGTGAATGGCGACAGTCAACCACAGCTTCTTCTGATGGCCAAAACTGGATTCTCACCCGCATCAGAGTCATTGGCAGAGGAAGATAGCATTGACCTGTTGCTGGTGGCGTCAAGGGAAGAAGGTACAAGGGGGAGTTCACAAAAGAGACAACGTATGGCGAGGTTGATAAAAAGGAATACAACAACTTCTCACCTGCAAACTGAAGGATTGTACACCTTTGTTCTTGCGGTGGTGCGGTGTACCATTCCAACCGAGCGTGTGGCGACCGCAAAATGGGAATTGTTACACTTGTGTGTAGACCGTGAGGTGCCCTTTCAAAAACAAGAAAACACTGGCAGCATGGACGGGTGGAACACCGAAGATCCAAGATCTAGCGAAAGTGTTATTCAGCCAGGTCAGTGCACGTGGTGCTATATACAATGTTCTAATGTAGAGACAGAGGGAAGGAGACAAGGCGCGGACAAGAAGGGTATTCAGGAGAGTGGGGCACGTGGTATTGTTGTTGCCATAGTACCACAGCCATCCCATGTTGTTACTGTAGTTTGCGGTGGATTTGACGCGGAGAGTCATTCCTATCTTCTTGGTTTTGTGTCCAATCAGGCAACAGGAAGCAGTAATGTTCTGCATCATCCCGTGGAGGAAATGGAGAATCCTGAGGAGACACTCTGGAGTCTGTCTGAAGACACTCATACGGTGCAAATGATGGTATTGGGTACACCAACGGTTTCACTGCATGGACCGAGTGAAGCAGACGCGGGTCGAGTCTCGCCACGAGTTTATCAAGCTCAACGTGCCCTTCGTTCTCATAGCCCTTATAAGTACTGCGATAAAAGCACTGGTGGTTGGATGCGACAGGTGGGCTTGTCAATGGTACTACGCTTTGTGGTGGACTTCCTTGATGATGGCATAGGTCATGTTCGTACGGAGTTGGATGTTATCAAAAGCGGCCGACAGGGTTTGTATCTTGTTGCGGGTGTACCTTGGGCAAAGAGTCGACATGGTCGTTTCCCAATCCCACGCACTGTCTGCTGGATTGGCACCGCACCACTGCCCA